GGAAATGAAAGGAGAGGAAAAGGATAGAAGGAGAGATTGGTTAATGGGTGAGAGAAAAGAGGAGAGAGATAGATAGAAGGAGAAAAGAGGATATGGGTGAGAGAAGGAGGAGGGAGGGAGGGAGGGAGAAGTTAACCTCGTGGGTCTGGCGATTTACGATATGACACTAGCACTTACGATGGAGGGGGGGTGGGGGTGGACCTATTAGGGGGAGGGAGCCGTGGAGGGTAGGAGTGAAGGGTGGAAGGGTCACTGGGTAAGAGGAAGAGGAGGGGAAGGGGTTTATAGGGGAAGAGGAGAGGGGGGGGGGTGATGGTGTAGTCAACGTTGGTTATGCTGTAGGCTAGGAGAGTGAGTCACTTGTCAGGGGTTCGACGAGTCATGTTTGGTTGGGTCTCGGTGTTTACAATAGATACAGTCGGTGCTTACAATAGATACATTGTCTATGAAGAATAAGAGACTGAATAATATTAAATAGCAAAATATACTCTTGAACATATACCGTAAAGTTTTCTATGACTCTCTCTCTCTCTCTCTCTCTCTCTCTCTCTCTCTCGATAGTTAGGGCAAACTAGCCTATTTAAGCACCGCCCTACATTCTCACACCACCTACAGAAATTTTTTTTTCTTGTATGGAAAGGCGGTTAATTTAGGAGTACCCCGTAAATAGAATCTTCCAGTGTGTTTTTTCTTTTCTTTTTTTTTAGCGTCTTAAAATAGGGTCAGGGATTTTTTTTGGGGGGAAAGGAAAGGAAGTTTGTTTTGTCTTGACATCAGCAGAGAGGGAATTACAAGACGATTTTGCACTGATTTCTATTTTTTTTTTCCAGTCGATATAGTTTTTGTTGCTTCATTGCCCTCGTGGTATAGTAGTTGTGGTGGTTGGTAGTGTTATGGTGGTAGTAGTAGTGGTTTTAACTGTAATGGTAGTCATGGTAGTAGGCCTCCTGGTGGTGGTGGTGTAGGAGGCTGCCGTCATCAGATGGTAACAGCCTAATGGTAGCAATTAGCGACAGACGATCAGTTAGTAGTGAAGTAATGAGGAAGACCCACCAGAATTATCCCTCCTCCTCCTTCCTTACCCTCCCTAGCATCCTCCCTTCTCATTCTCCTCTTCACCCTCCCAAACATCTTCCCTCCTCAGCCTTCCTCCTCACCCTACCTCACCATCCTACCTCATTCTCCCTGCTCCTTCATCCCCCCCCCCCGCTGCGCCTCCGCCGACTCCTCCCCAATAAAACCAACAATCCAATTTACAGGGAGACTTTCAGCAGTGCCCCCTGGTCGTCTGCTGCTAATGTTCCTGCTGGTGCTGTAACCTCCTGCTACTGCTGCCTTGGGGGATGAAAATAGGGGGAGAGGGAGGTTGTGGTTAAGGCGGGGGTGTTAAGGTTCATGATGGAGAGGTTAAGGGAGATGATTATAGCAGATGATGTAGAAACTTGCCAAGGTAGGAAAGGGAAGGGTTTAGGGGAGGTCCAGTAGGCTCGTAGTAGAGAGGCTAAAGGGAAGGGTGTGGGAGGTAGGGGACGGGAAGGGGAGTAAGGGAAGGGAGTAAAGGGAGGGCTGAGGGTTAGGAAAGAGGCTGGTAGGGGGTAATTGTGACTCAGTCTAAAAAAAAAACTGCAATGGAAAATCAATGATGCAACGACAGTAGCGTTTGTGACCGTCAGTGGGAGTGGTGTTGGTCGTGTGTGTGTTTGTTTGTTCCCTCGTGTGTTTGTTATTGTTTGGTTGCTCGTGAGTTTGTTGTTTGTCTTTGGCTTAAAAGGGGGAACATTTAAAGTACATTTAATTCAACATATCATTGGAATTAATTAAAAAAATACTGAAAAAATCCATTCTAAACTTTACGAAGAAAAATAAATAATTAAAATAACCCAAACTTATTACAAGAATCAAAAAAAAAAAGAAGATCCATCCAAAACTCCACGAAAATTTACTCCTCAAAAATGACTAGGAAAATTTATTCATCTTTTTTTAGCCAAGAAAGAATATTTATTTTAGTTTTCATATTTTTCTTTACATGTGAATTTTAACTAAACAGATGGAGGAAAAGTTAAGAGTCTAGAGCATCGACCAACACGTAAATTACTGAGGCGATATATTGGGATTAACATTTCTGGCCGAGTCGGTCGTAAGTGGATGAAATCTGTAATAATTGTTTAGGCGACCTGTAGGCGACGACTGTGGAGGAAGGGAGGAAAGGAAGGAAGGAGAGAGGGAGGGAGGGAGAGAGCAGAAAGGTAAGCGAATCCAAGAGAAAGCAGGGGAAAAAGAAAATATCAGTAGTAGTAGTAGTAGTAGTAGTAGTAGTAGTAGTAGTAGTAGTAGTAGTAGTAAAACTCCGAAAAGAAAACGTCGAGACCAGTGACCTGAAGAAAACGTAGCCAGCAATCGAAAACAATATTCACATAGACGTCAGGGGGAGGGATGGGTGAGGGGAAACGAGGAGAAAAATAGGGAAATATTGGGGGAGAATTGGGGAGAGAAGGCTTAGTAAGAGCTTGGTACAGCTGAGCCTTAGTGTTGATGTATATATTTTTACCCCCACCCTTTTCTTCTCAAACTGTTGTCGTGTGTAAGGTAGAGGAAGGGAGGGAGGGGGAAGTTAGAGTTTAGGAAGGGTTATATAGTGGTAGGTAGTAGTTTTCTGCGTTCTATGTCCCTCTATTTACGGGAGGGGGGGAAGAGGGAAAGGGGGTTTGTTTGTAGGAAGAGGGAAGGAAGAGGAGGATGGGGGAAAGGATGGGATGGAGAGAGTAGAGGAGGGGAAGGATGGGATAGGGATTTCTTTTCAAGTATTTGGATTCAATGGGCCGTCTTTTTTTTACAGGGTCTAAACATCCTTTCAAGTCCCACTCAGCGTCCTCTTCACAGACACTTGAGCATACCTTACAAGATTCACAGCATTACTTTCAAGACCCCACAACACAGCATATCTTCAAGATCCATATCACAGCATTACTTTCAAGACCCACATCAAAGCATTCCCTCAAGACCCACAGCACAGCATACCTTCAAGACCCATATCACAGGATTACTTTCAAGACCCATATCACAGCATTCTTTCAAGACCCACATCACCTACATTAGCTTCAAGACCCACAGCACAGCATACCTTTAAGGCCCATATCACAGCATTACTTTCAAGACCCACACCACAGCATACCTTCAAGGCTCATATCATAGCATTACTTTCAAGACCCCACATCACAGTATTCCTTGAAGACCCACATCATAGCATTCCCTCAAGACCCACAGCACGGCATATATTGAAGACCCATATCACAGCATTACTTTCAAGACCCCACATCACAGCCTACCTTCAAGACCCATATCACAGCATTACTTTCAAGACCCCATATCACAGTATTCCTTCAAGACCCACATAGCATTCCTCAAGACCCAAAGCACGGCATATCTTCAAGATCCATAAAAACATTACTTTCAAGACCCACATCACAGCATTCCTTCAAGACACACAGCTCAGCATCCCTTCAAGACCCACAGCACAGCACAAGACCCACAGCACAGCATCCCTTCAAGACCTATATCACAGCATTACCTTCAAGACCCACAGCACAGCATACCTTGAAGACCCATATCACAGCATTCCTTCAAGACCCACAGCACAGCATTACCTTCAAGACCCACAGCACATAAGACCCATATCACAGCATTACCTTCAGGACCCACAGCACAGCATACCTTGAAGACCCATATCACAGCATTCCTTCAAGACCCACAGCACAGCATTACACAGCACAGCATTACCTTCAAGACCTATATCATCAAGACAGCATCCCTTCAAGACCCATATCACAGCATTACCTTCAAGACCCACATCACAGCATACCTTGAAGACCCATATCACAGCATTCCTTCAAGACCCACAGCACAGCATACCTTCAAGACCCATATCACAGCATTCCTTCAAGACCCATCACAGCATTAGCTTCAAGACCTCATCACAGCATTCCTTCAAGACCCACATCACAGCATACCTTCAAGCACCCACATCACAGCATTCCTTCAAGACCCACATCACAGCATACCTTCAAGACCTACATCACAGCATACCTTCAAGACCCACATCACAGCATACCTTGAAGACCCATATCACAGCATTCCTTCAAGACCCACATCACAGCATTCCTTCAAGACCTACATCACAGCATTCCTTCAAGACCCACATCACAGCATACCTTCAAGACCTACATCACAGCATACCTTCAAGACCCACATCACAGCATACCTTGAAGACCCATATCACAGCATTCCTTCAAGACCCACATCACAGCATTCCTTCAAGACCTACATCACAGCATTCCTTCAAGACCCACATCACAGCATTAGCTTCAAGACCCACATCACAGCATACCTTCAAGATCCCGGACATCAAACCCAACTCTTAATTTCTAAATTTTTTTACCCTTCTCACTCAATACTCTAAGCACCTTCTTTTAAGGCCTGAGGGCCGTGTTCCTAGGGCTTGGGCATCCTTACGAGATCTCCCCCACCCCAACCGAGTCATTGGTGCAGCATCCGAGATTCGTAAATGTTTATGAGGCGTGATGAATGTGGTAGAGGGAGGCTGAGAGGGAGGGAGGGAAGGAGGGAAGGAAGGAGGGTAGCTGCTGATGCCGCTGTTAACTAGGAGGGTGAGAGGAGGAGGGGGGGAGCACCTTCAACTGCGACCTTTAGCTTTTAGGCAGTCTAATTATGCCTCCAGTTGAAGACTCGTATTCAGTCAGCTAACTCAGCAAATTGATTAAGAAGTTTCAAGTTCAGATTTATATTATAAAGTATACAGTAGGTATACTCAGTAAGGTGGTGCTTTAAATCTTAATATAATTGAAATATAATAAAACAATATTCCACTACGACGTAACAAACAGACTCACAAAAAAAGGAATAATAAATTAATAAAAAAAAATGGCGGTAAAGAATAACAAAATTTTTTTAGAGTCGAGTTTTAAATTGACATTGTTGTTGTATTTTTTTTCCTAGTTGTATTTTTTTTATTGTGTTATGCAAAAGTAGAAGGGAGTCACAAAGTTGATTGAATTCTGTCGGGGAAAGTTTTAAAATTTCTCGTAAAAGTTACAAGAGTGATAGAGAGTGAGTGTTCATTTACACACACTGCCTCAATTTAACCTATTTTTTCCTACTGTAAATTATTCTGGATTTACATAAAGCGAAAGTTTCATTATACTAAAAAAAATTCTCGCATTTTTGTCCACGTTTGAATTATTAATATATTTTTTTTAAATCTTGAAATTATGGCAACGACGAATAGAATGAATAAGATATGCAAAACAAAAATCGCTTTTGTTTAATATTTACCAAAAATCGCACTGTGTTATTGAAATTTTTTTTTAGTTCCTTGATAAACATCTAAGCTCCTTCTTTTATACAACCTTCCTGAAGTCGTCATTAAGTTATAAAGTAAACACCAAACAAACATTTCTATTAAATATTTGTAAACATTTAAAGAAAACAAACATCTAAGACGGCAAACTTAACTAAACAAGCCGACCTTCACATCCCGACCTTCACAACCCGACCCACACAACCCGACCTTCACAACCCGACCCACACAACCCGACCTTCACAACCCGACCAACACAACCCGACCTTCACAACCCGACCCACACAACACCAGGGGAAAGAAAAGATGTCGCTTCAGTATTTTCGCGAATAGTTGTTTTGAAAGAGGAATGAGGGAGGGATGAGGGGGCAGTTAGAAGAGGGGAGAGACATGAGCCCCCTGAGAGGAAGAGGGGAGGGAGATAGAGAATAAAGGGAAGAATCTCAGCAGGGAGCAGAGACAAAATGGGCTGAGATGAGGACAAAGAGGGAGAGAAGAGCTACTAGAGTAAAGGGAGGGATATGAGGGAGGGAAATGATGTAGGGGGGAGTTAAAGGAAGGCAGATAATGATTTAGGAAAGGGAAAAGTGATGGAAGAATTTTAAAGAGAGGGGGGGGGGAGGGAAGGTAGAAGATAGGGGTGTAGAGAATTTCAGGGTTATAGCGTAGCATCATGCTCGTTAACTCCGGGTCTTTAGGGGAAAGTAGAAGAATTTTCCCCAACTTTGGCTTTAATAAAGAAGGAAAAAAGCAAGAAATTATTATTTTTTTCTTTTGGAGGAAAGTTCTTTAGTGTTTGACGCTTTCATCTTCGTCTGTTTTACGGTGAATTTTTTTTTTCTCTTCCTGGGAAATGTTAATTTTATGTGGGTATGTTTCTTTTTCCCCCTTTGGAGAGGAAAATCTTGATTAGCGGCCATATTTATATACGACTGTTCTGATATGATTAAAATTCCTGGTAAGAAAAAATATATACAGAGAATTTTGCATTTTTCTTTTCTCTGTTTTCGGTGAATTTACATGATTTTTTTTTCATTTATTGGTTGATATATAAATTATTATTATAATTTTTTTTACTCATTATCGTTAGAAAGGTTTGCAGATTATTGTATTATGCTTTATGTTTCGTCCTTTCCTCTCCCTTCTTTGTTGTCTCCTGTAATTATTAGTTCTTCCTTCTCCTGCTCTTTCTCCCCTCCTTTTCCTCCCTATCATCCAATTCTCCTAACCATCTCCTCCTCCCCCCTTCCTCCTCCTGGACCACAAGTCACCAACCCTCACGCCCGTCACTTGTTTCAGGTCTCTGCTCTTGTAATTTCCAGGGCTCTCAACTGTGATCGGGAACTGCGGCAATTGCACAGTTAGCGGTCTTTACGGCTCGTTTGTGAAGATCTGGCGATGACGTCACGATTGAAGAGGGATTTGGGGGGGGTGGTTAAGGGAGAATTAGGATGTCATATAAAAGGGGCATAGAGGGAAGGGGTTTAGGGGGATGTGGTGGTTAGGAGGATGTGGTGGTTAGGGGGAGGTAAGGGCTAAGGGGAGGTAGGGCTGAAGGGTTAAGGGTAGATAAGGGTAAGAGGAGGTGAGGAAAGGGGTTAAGTAGGGTGAATTAAGGGAGATTAAGGCATTGTAGAGACAAAGGGGGACTTGAAAGGTTGGATTTAAGATAGAAAAGAAGGTTATAAGGGAGAAGATAAAGGTAGGGAGAAGAATAGGGGTAAAAAGCGAAAGAGAAGAGAGACAGATAAAAGATAAATGAGACACACGTAATCGACTTCTTATTCCGCTTATTTCCTCGCCGTTAATTCATCGCTGGAGTTAATATGAGCAGTTAAAGTTCTTATCTTAGGGAGGTGTTCAGGGTGATATTCGTTCCCAGTGATGACCTCCCCCTTCCCCCCCAATGAGTGGTAATTGACGGTAGTTAGTGTCAGAAGTGGTTCCCAGAGAGAGGTTCAAATAATCTTCCTTATTGTCAAGAGTCGCTCTGGCTTTGGGTTCTAATCCTACTGGTCGATTTTCCTTCCTACTGATTCCCAATTTAAGTACAAAATCCTATTGCGAGGTGGAAATCCCTCTCTCTCTATATATATGATCTCGTTTAGGGAGTTTAAATCCTGTTTTAATCTCATACTAAAAGCGTTAGATCCTATTAATGTCTCTCCAAAGAGTTTTAGGTCTTATTATTGGTCTCAGAGGTCAATATTCCATAGAGGATTTTGTTTTAATAGAGGGTCAGATCCCAATAGTGTTTCATGGCAAAAAATCGGATCCTGTTATGTTATTTGTTTAGGACGTTCAATTTATATAAAAGAGGAAAGATTATAAATGTTATAATCCTCTAACAGTTTCTTTTAAGAGGATCAGATTCGGTGTAAATCTCACTTAAAGAGAATTGAGTTCTATGTTTTTTAGACCGAAGAAGAGTTTCAGTATCGATTGATTTCGTGTTGACATTTTACGCCTTTGTGTAGTTTTCAGTGTAAAATTTATATCGGTGTCTATTATAATTGTACGAGTGCTCTACTCTATATCTCCGCCAGCTATCGTTAAACTCTATCATTAAAAAAAAATTGAAGACCAATTAAAACTGACCCGCGTCACCCATACTCTCACATAATGGAACACAAACTCTCAACAAACGCCAGAATTATCCGCGTTTAGGCCTGAGTTAAACCACCCATTACCGCGCTTATTTTAGGTTATTGTCCCCCCCCCACTCCCCCCATAACCACCTCTCCCCCACGCACCATCCCTACCCACTTCTCCCCCACGCACCATCCTACCCACCTCTCCCCACGCACCATCCCTACCCACCTACTCACCATCCTACCCCACCTCTCCCCACACCATCCTACCCACCTCTCCCCCACGCACCATCCCTACCCACCTCTCCCCACGCACCATCCCTACCCACCTCTTCCTACTCACCATCCCCACCCACCTCTCCCCCACCCACCCCTCAATTTCCGCGTATTCTAGGCCAACGCGGATGTGATTACACCTCGTCGCTCGAAAGCAATTTTACGCCCACCAATATCGTAAAATTCCTCAGGAACACTAATTTATTAAAGGATTAGAATTTTATAGGTCTAAGGAATGATTGTGACATTTCTACCTTGAGTTACATAGATCACAGCCCACGCGTCCGTATGTCTAATCATGTGCCGTTACTCGAGGCTAATTTACCCTTCTTACCGCCAATTAAAACTACCAATTATATAAAAAAACGGAAGCTAATCTCGTGGAATTGGTCGTTAAAAGTATTTGGGTCCCTGTTGGTGATTTAGTACTCCTCACGGCCACAACCATCTGCCCGTTTTCTTCCCGTTGTTCACATCACCGTCATTCAGTATGTTATGTTCCCTTACGACACTAAGACTAAGGAAGGACCGACGTTAAGATAGGCAGGAGGCCATAATGTTTATTATGAAGGATTCCAAGGGAGGGATGAGGTAGTGGTGGGTGGGTAGTGGTACTGGTTCAGGGTTTCATAAGAGCGGTGTTATCGTGGTTAGTGGTCCTAATATGCCCCCCCCCCCCTTCACTCCTCACCCCTACAATGGTCTGAGGGGTTACCGAGGGAGGGAAGTAGGAGGAGGGAGACCCCGGTAATTTCTGCACACATAACCTTTGCAAATGATGATCCAATGTCTCCGTAGACATACTTTATTGGACGTTATTAGGCAGTAACGTCGTGGAACTACTGCTGCCGCCTCCACCACAAAGGCTACCCGCTCCTACGCTTAACTATCTAATTGGTCTATAGCCAACCTCTAACTATCTCTTACGGAAAATGAAGCAATCTGTTTGGTCCTCCTTCCCGCCCCTCTTCCTCACCCATCCACCTCATACTATCGTCTCCGTCTAATTATTTAATTGGTCTGTTTTTCGGGTCTTAATAATTCATACCATTGTTATGTCTCGAGGTATTGTCCTAACGTGATTGTTGATGTCTGTGTAACATCCGAGGTCCTCTCTCTCTCTCTCTCTCTCTCTCTCTCTCTCTCTCTCTCTCTCTCTCTCTCTCTCTCTCGTGAAAAGGTATAATTTTCTTTTATTTTTTAATTTATAATATATTATTCCTTTCTGTTTATATCATTATTAATATCGTCTACAAACTATTAATACAATATCAATCATCACAATGTTGTAAATAAGTAAAGGAAAATCACTTGGGTAAAAAAACACGCAGGGATAATGAACTCTTGAGTCTTGCTGGTCTTAACAACTTCAGGAATCAAACGAGGCGGAAAATCGACTTAAAAAAAAATATAATACTCTCACTAGCAACTTGTTCGACGGTGTTGCCATACGAGGGAGGGAGGGAGGGAGGGTGGGTCTGTTATTGGTTTTCTTTCCATGGTTCCAGGAATTCCCAATCCACTGGAATAGCTAGAAAGGAGTAGGTGGGGAGGGAGGGAGGGAGGCAGGAGGGGAGGATTGTAGTAGTAGTAGACTCTTAAGGCTCGCGGTCGGTCATGTTTTGTTGTCACACTTGGGAAATTGAGAGAAAAAAAAATATATCGAGCAAGATTTCTAGGTGTTATTCTTTGTTTACACGTCATCGAGGGTGGCCAATATTTTTGTTTCGTTTCTCCTAGGTATTATTTAAGTTTGTTAGGGTAGATGCAAGAGATAGAAAGAGAACCGTGAATTGTATAGATAACGTGTTACTTTTTTTTTTTTTTAATTTATCGAATTTACAAATGATTTTGACACATTACAAAATCCTCCTTTAAATGTTATAATAATAAAATAAAAACAATTATTCATGATATTCCACAACTACCATCACCACAACTACCGCCCCCTTACTGCCACCACCATCACTATTTCTATCCCTACAAGTACCACCACCACACACCACAAGAGCTGTTAATTTGCCAAGGTCTCCCCTGGGGGTCAGCTAAGACCTGATAAAGGGAGGATGGGAGGGAGGGTGGGTGGTTAACTCTACCTAAGATTTTTCGAGAGGTCAGCTGTATCTTAAGAGGTCAGCTGTATCTTAAGAGGTCAGCTGTATCTTAAGAGGTCAGCTGGATCTTAAGAGGTCAGCTGTATCTTAAGAGGTCAGCTGGATCTTAAGAGGTCAGCTGTATCTTAAGAGGTCAGCTGGATCTTAAGAGGCCAATAATAATTCTCATAGCCTAATAGTAGTACTTACAAAGATTACTTATAATACTTTAGAGGAGCGATAAGTGCGACCTACTTTTCTTGCCTACACCTCCCCTCCCCTACGCGTAGTAAATGGTCATAACTTTACGTTCAGTGTCGTTATTCTGCGTTCACAGCCCCCCTAACAAAGGCCATTGATAGCCATTAAGATATACATTATGCGCGGACGAAGTATAATGGCATGGGGTAGGGGTTGTTAATAACCTCCCCCCCCCCTCTACCTAAATAACCTACCCCCTCCTGGACCACCCCCTCTCTTCCTCATATCTTCTACATCCTCCTCTTCCTCCTACCTCCTGTTTCTTCCTTACTCCAACCACCTCCTACTTCTCCTTCACCACTCCTATCCCCAACACTTACCTTACCCTCATCCAATCACCTCTCCCTCCCTACCCCCAATCCTCCCCACCCCCACCTACTTTCCCTTTCCCCACTCCTACCTACTTCCCTTTCCCCACACCCTTCCCTACCCACCTACTTTCCCTTCTCCCAACCCTAACCTTTCCCCACCCCTACCTACTTTCCCCTTCCCTACCTACTTTCCCCCTTTCCCTACCTACTTTCCCTCCCCACCTACTTCCTTTCCCCCCCCTACCTATTTCCCCTTTCCCCCATCCCCTACCTACTTCCCTTTCCCCACCCTACCTTCCTTTCCCCACCCCTACCTACTTCCCTTTCCCCATCCCCTACCTACTTCCCTTTCCCTCCCGCCTACTTCCCTTCCCCCCATCCCCGCCTACTTCCCTTTCCCCATCCCCGCCTACTTCCTGCCTCTCAAGCTCTGTCATTAAGAATATGTGTGACGAGTTTTAGGGGAGGGGGTGGGAGGGAAGGGGGCTGCCATATGTGATCACGTCATCATTACTGTCATCATAAACACCAAGATTAAGATCAGGGAGCCTTTGTCGAGGGGAGCAACTGTGACGAAATGCGTAAGTGCGTGTGCGTAATGGTGTAGGCCCGTGGAAGCGTGTGCGTAAGGCCGTGTAAGTAACTACCATATGTGCGTGTGCGTCCATGGGTAGGTAGACCCGAGGAAGGCTATGTGCATAAGGCTGTGGAAGTTAACATAAATGCGTGTGCGTAGTGGTTCGGGTTGAGGGAAGCGTGTAGAGGCATATGTGCGTAAGTTACCGTGTGCGTAATGTGTAGAACTGTAGTAGGTTGGGGGAAACGTGTGCGTGTAGGCTGTGTAAGGCTTAAGAGCCGTGTGTACGTATTGGAGAGAGAGAAAGGGGGTAGGAAGGTGGGGGGATAGAGGTAAACTACTTCTTATGTAGTGTAAATGATCAGGGGGAGAGAGAGAGAGAGAGAGAGAGAGAGAGAGAGAGAGAGACCCTAATTTCCTGCACCCCCCAAAAAAACCCCTCAGATCCCCCTCAAATTTACCTAATCTTAAAGAAAAAGAAACAAACACACACACACTCACACAACCTTAATCAAATTCCCCGAATTATTTGGTTTATAAGTGAAGAGTTTGACTTTGAAAATGAGATTGGTGCACAAATAATAATTGGATAAAGGCGGAGATAAAAATAGGCGACGCACACACACACACACACACCGGGCCAGTTTTGAATTGCAAATTGGATTCATATCATCCTATTATTTCTGTCAGCTTTTAGCAGTGGGGAGAAGGGGGTGGGGAGCTAAACGAAGGAGAAGGAGGAGGGTATGGGGAGGATTTAGCTAGTATGGTGATGGGGAGATAGATTGTGGATTTAGATGGGTCACTGGTGCCTCTCTAAGCCTCATGGGGAAGGGAAGAAGGGGTTGGGGGAATTAAGAAGGGAAATCAAGACACTATGGCAAAGGGGAAGTGAATGGTGGTGGGTATGGGAAGAGGGAAGGCAGACATAAGGGAATGACTTCACTATACCGTAACATTTTCTTTGGTAAATAAATAAATAAATAAATAAACTCCGACAAAATAAATCCAGTTTTTATTTTCTCGTCATATTCTCGCTTTTGTCAATGTTTTTTTTTTTTTTACTTTTATCTTTTATCCCGAAGGTCAAATTAGTCTGGGATATCGCGCGGATTTGTTAGGATTATATACACAAAGTTTGAATTAGATCTTACCGTGGAATTAGAAAGACTCGAGAAAGACCGCCCGCGAGTTTTATCTGCGATATAAAATAGATGAACGACAGAAGAACACTCCGCTAAACTCAATATAACATTCTCCGTAGTCTTAGGCTAAGTTAAGGCTTTAGGCTACAGTGTTGGGACAGATCCTCGATAAATCTCTATTTTGCACAAGTTCTCTGCGTGTTTGTGGTGGTGGTGGGGAGGGGAAGGTGAGGGGAGCTTCGGTTTTATAGGCCTATTTTGGCAAGGCATCAAGCGAGCTGCCAAAACGCATACATTAGCAAGATTTCTTTTTCGTTCAGTGGCCAAGAATCCTTGTTGTATGTCTCGCTTTATCAGGGTTTTTTCTCTCTTTCTCTCTCACTTTATCTTTCGTCCCCTCCCCCACCTCGTACGGGCGTCCTCTCTTTTTCGCGGAGCGCTCAGAGAAGGTAGCGATTTTAAGCTCTAGTGATACGTGGGGATAAGGCTCTTTTTCCTGGCGAATTATGCGGTGAAATGATCCTTAGAAAATCGGTGCAAAAGGCTAGCGATTGCTTCTCTCATCACGGGCGGTGTAGTGGGCCGTCACTAGGCCTCGCCACTCAACACCCGCTGAAGCTAGACGCTTACATCTCACCAACTAACGGGACTAGACCACTTAATGTATTACTTGTAATCCCTGTAGTAGTAATTAACAAAAGAATAGTGCTGTCGATAGATGAAACAGCAAGCTAGGTGGTAATTTGGGTGAAGAATAACCTCGAAGAAATTGCTAAGCTGACAACTAAGGTCTTAGTTTATGTGACAGGACGCGGGCAGGGAGGATCAGGCCTGCCAACATTATGGCAGCTCGTGTGGCGGTTCTATATTTTGCAAACTCCGCTGTAGCACGTCGCTGTGCATTGTAGTTCAATATTTTAAACCTTCTCTGTTTACATAATTATATTTTCATTCAATTAGGTAAGTGAAAAATTCTTGGCATTTATTTACTTGATGCGAATAATTTGCCTCCCCGTCTTTGGCACTCCTGGAGGCGAGAACGGCTTGAATTCGCGGGAAATCAGCAACCGGTTCAGAAAGACGGAAATAGATGGAGATATTGCGATTTATAGCCGCGATTCTTGAAGGAAAAATTGTTTCCTTGGAATTCTTTGGTTGAGGATAGAGGGGGTTAGTGGATTATCCTACTCTTCTTCACACAGCTGATGAGGCTGTGTGTTTTGAAGAGAATGAACGATATAACGGGAGGGAGACAACGGCCCAGCCCCTCTTGGCTCATGTTACGAGGTTCGCGCGATATCAAACGTCTCTTTCTTTATAACAAGAACACCAGAGGTTTGAATACCATCTGTTTTAATGGGGTTGCGCCATCTGGGAATGTGGTGTGTTGCACCATCTGGGTTAGGGGTTTCGCCATCTGAGTGAAGGGTTGCGCCATTTGGGAGCTTGGGTGTTGCGCCATCTGCAGGTGGAGTTTCTTGCGTTTTAAAGGACTCGTTTTGGGCATAACCTGACCCGCCCTCTTTACCTCCTCCTCGTTGACATACCTGCTTGCTGACTGTAAGGCAAAAACAAGTTCCTTCAAGGTCAACTGTGCCTAGACAAGCTAGTCTTGCCTACCACCTGTTCTACCACCTGTTTCTCCTCCTCCTCTACTAGATCTGCTATTATCCGTTAGCTCTAATTCCTTCTTCGTCACCACGTCATTTATCCAGTCTTTACAATATTCTTTTAAGTCTTTCTTTTCCTTTCATCCTACTTTATCCACCCTCGGCGTCCCTATTCTATCATCCATCTTTCTCTACTTCCCTTATCTTCTCTCTCTTCCGTCTCTTAAATTCTGCGTTTATACTTTCCACCTTCTTCTTCTCTTCCAACCATCCATCTTCTTTCCCCCTTTCCTTCAATCCCCTTTCTCCACTCTCCCTGTCACCACCTCCAATCTCCTTGTCTTATTTATCCTGTGTTTTTGTCGTAATTTCTTCCCACCCTCCTTTCATAATTCTTTCTTCCTCTATCGTCCATCTTCCTCGCGTTCTTTTTATTCTCATTTTCGTTATTTCTCATCTTTCTCTCACCTTTATTCTCTCCCCCCCCCCGCCTTTGTTCCTTCGTTATTCCCTTCCCCCTCCTTTCTCACTTGTTTCATTGTTCCTTAGTTACGGAAGCCCTTTTATACAGTGAAAGCTGATGTATTTTCGTATGATTTCCGGTGTTTATACGTGGCTCCGTATTAATGTGTATGATAACAGACAGTAGGGCGCGAGAGAAGATAATATATGTTATCCAAGGTGTGTATATAAGCGCTGAGTGAGGTTATAGAGTAACCTAACCTAACCTAACCTAGCCTAGCCTAACCTAACCAAATAACTGAAGGTCACTACGTAATTGTAGGGTGAGGTTATCCTTCACTAAGCCCAGGGCTGTGCGGCGTCACGCTAGGACTTGCGGTGGGACTCCGGGGATTTGGGATCCTAATGCTGTGGGAGGCCGTGTGATGTGTTGGGGGAGGGAGAGTAAGGTGGGAGGGAGAGTAAGGTGTGTGTGTGTGTGTGTGTGTGTGTGTGTGTGTGTGTGTGTGTGTGTGTGTGTGTGTGTGTACGATGATTTCTTATTACCAAGAGATTTATTTTAATTTTCTTAAGATTAATATTATGATCAAGACAAAAATATTAAAGTATTCGTCCCAGAACGAATTACATTTGACGAAAACTAATTACAGTATCACATTTTTTTCTTCTGAATATCACTCACCCTTTGGTGAAAGAATATTATTTTGCAAAAGCTACTTTTAGTCCACAAAATATAATAAAAAAGCAGTTAAGACTGTGCTTTTAGAAGGGGAGCTTAAACTGTAAATATAGTACTTAATTGAAGAGCACTGGCAACACTAGCAAGGCCAAGTGAACACTCATGGTCACCAACAGCCTCTCTATAACAACAGCTCTGGGTACAACCACTTCACTACCACAGCCCTGAGTATACATAGTCATCATCCTCCTCCCTGGTTCACTGTGAGAAGTAACTACCCTCTTTTGGTTGACTCTAAACAAAAGCAGAACTTATCAGCATTAAATGACTCTTTAAGTGTAAGTAATGAACTATGCTTGATTGTTTCTCAGACTTTAAATATATTAAGTCTTTAGTTGTCTG